AAACTTTTCTCCAACATTAGTCCCACAGTCTTCCTATGAGTAAAGCCTGGGGTTGAGGGGGTAGGCCTACAAAGATTTTTATCCTAACATCCTCACTATTATTTTGCATTACCTATCAACATTCAAACAAAGTTTCATACAGCAAATAGCTTCACCGATATTCTTAAAAGCTTTGCTGTTCTTCATCACAGAAAATGCCTTGTCTTTGAAGAGCTTCACTCTAGAAGCAAGGGTACAAGAAGAAGGGTTTCAAAATGATCCTATGACATTCTCTCCCTATCATAAGTGTTGATAAAATAGACGAGGACAACACGAGCATAAAGACGTGGGAGGAGCAGCCCAGGCCACAGGGTTCGCCACGAAGATAAAACCTAGAACTGTGACCTCAAAATCAAAGGGAGTACAGTTTCATCAACACATTCACACCTAAGTTTTTTTTTCTCCAACATTAGAGTAAAGCCGGGGTGGATGTTGTACAAAGTTTTTTATCCTTACATCGTCACTATTATTATTTGTATTATCCACCAACATTACAAGTTTCATACTGCAAATAGCTTTACCAATATTTTTAAAAGCCTTGCTGTTCTTCATCACAGAAAACGCCTCGTCTTTGAAGAGTTCCACTCTAGCAGCAGTACAAGAAGAGGACGAGGAAGAAGGGTTTTCACATGATCCTTTGACTTTGATGACATTCTCTCCCAGTCATAAGTGATGATGAGAAAACTTGTGGATCATCTTTCAACAACCAACTGCCTGAGACTCGTTTCCAAGACATTTCTGTCCAAGTTTCTGCCTGTGGATACAAAAATGAGAACAAAGTCATAAATAGTTTTAGAACTTTACAGTACAGTGCAGCCTCTCTATAACGACCTTCGATATAACGACGTCCTCTGTATAGTGACATGGTGCCCAGGTCCCGATTTTTTCCTTCATATATATGTATATATCATTAGTAATTTTTGGTTGCCTCTCTATAATAAGGACAACTCTCTATTACAACATTTTTTTCTGGTCCCGACAATGTTGTTATATAGAGAGGCTGCACTGTATGTATTATACCAGTAGAAAGTGATGCTTTACAAAAAAAACCTTACCTAACCATGATAAAGTTAAAGGCTTGAGTTGTAATTTTACTTTCCTTGACTTTATAATTCAATGGACACAAGTTTTGTTTTGGGCTATTCTTTTTTCCAAAAGCTGATCTCAAAATCGAAATATGACCATTTTTTAATAAAATCTCCCTCCACCTTTCCAATTAAAAAAATAAATAAAAATTAGTCAGTGTGTGTGATGTCTTTCTATGTCTGAAAGTGAAAAAGAACTTTCGTCATCTGACGGGTTTTTTACTATATAATGTAGATGTACAAACGCACGGTCACTCCCTCTAAACGCACGCTCCGCTTGGCAAGGGGAAATTTTCACGACAACCCGCACAGCCTGCATAAGACAAGCCTAGAATTTACTAGAAAATCGGATATCTGGTGAGAGTGCGCCTCACGCCGTACAAAGAGGGTGACTGACAGCGTTTACACACCCTACTTTCCACTGACGCATAGGTCTCGGTCTCGGTCTTGGGCTGGTTGG